TGCCAAGAAAAAATCTGATCACTTTTGTATGACACATTTTTTCCGAAAACACAATCCAATCAACCCATAATACTGTTTCGAGAATTCTAGGATGCCAAGAATAATTCAATTTTTATCCCCCCCCCCCCTTCTTGTATTTTATACGGTTGGAAAAGAAATTTTTTCCGCTTTTTATTTCTGCAATAAAAATGAGGATTTCCATTTAAAAAAGTGAATTTGACTTTCAAATAACTTTGAAGTTTAAGCCCAATATCAAATTCAAGGTCACCATTCAATAACCAGGGAAAAAACCTATCAGTTTTGTATGAAACATTTTTTCCAAAAATGTGTTTCCACTGATTTATCGTGCTGTACCGTAAACTGTTTCGGATTTCCTGTATAATTTTGTAATTGTAGAGTTAGTGCTGTGCATTTATTTTATATTATTGTACAGTTGTACGTTTAAATTATTTTAATTTTATGTTCAGTTCTGTTTTCAATATTATTTTTAATATACATTACGATTACAGTAATCGTTGTACTAAATTCTGTGCAATAAATTCTCTATTTTTTCTGTGAAATGAACAAATATTAAAAATAGCTTTCTATAAACCTCATCTCGTTCAATAAAAAAATTAACCAACAGTTTTTATAAAAGTTAATTTTTTTAATTTTTCAGTACGGCATTTATCTGTGCTCGAAGTCGCTCAGCTAATGACTATGGTCAGTGGAGGATACCGTGATTAGGAAGCCGCTGATAGGCTGGCTGTTAGTTCCTCGGTTTGATCTCGTACATACAATCGTTATTTGAAAACTGATAGATACAAACACTAAGCTAAACAAGGTTGAAGTCGTGTAACGACTCGTCGAGACAACTGGGCAAACATCTAATATGATCGTCAGAACCTTTCGTTCCTACAAACGTTATCGCTCAAGACTTTTTAAACCGACGACGGCTGCGAAACATTTTCAGACAAACGTTTTTGTTCTATAATCAGCTTTGTGAGGCTAAACTATGATTTAGAAACTCTGCCTCTGTACCAATGTTAAGCCTCGTATATCGTAGATTTTGCCATGTGTAAACTAGACAAAATATGAATTGAAACGCAAGACAATGGAGTAAGGTGCTGTTCTCTGACAAATTTTGATTTTGTCTCTATAGGAACGACAGGAGATCCCAAGTTGAGCATTGTCAAGGAAAGCGTTTTTTACGAAACTTTACTCGTCCTATAACTATTTAAAATGGAGAACCGGTAAATGTTTGGAATGGAATTTTCGCGCGTTTCACGGACTTCTTTAATTATTATACGCTATAATCAAAATACCAGGCGCTACAGTGACCAGATTTTAAAGTCCCTTGTGTTGTCCTATTGACGTAATGGGAGAGGGTTCATTTTCATACAAGACAATGTTCACTCTCATACAGCGAACATTACTTATCAGTATTTCTAGAGACATAACATTACGTTCTCAATCTCATTAAGTACGTCTGGGATATCATGATTCATCGACTGCGTCAAAATTACTCAAATCTCTACAATTTATCTGTACTAGAGTAAGCCTTTAATGACATTTGGCGAAGAATTCCCCAGTCAATGATTCGAAATTAAATTTCGAATATGTTTGAAAATTTGCAAGCAGTTTTTCAGAGTAAAGGTGTCAATACTAGATATTAACTCACATATCCTCACGCATGATCATACCCACCCATCCTTGCATACTCGTACACACATACACACATATACAAACAAATATATATAAACAAATAAAAAAATAAATATATACTTTATATATATAAATATATAAAGTATATATAAACAAATTCCGCTATACTGTTTCTAAGCCTGCGGCAATCTATGTCTGTAAGGATAATTACTACGATACAAGAGAGTTATCGTTAGGAATCGGTTTCGTAAGGGCGGGCAATAGACAGCTGGCTATATGCAGCTACTATTATTCTCCTAATGCATCAGAATTTATCTGTACTAATGAAGGAGTTGAGAAAATGGAATCGCCCGGTCATAATGGCAAGCAAATTCAACGTGAAAATAAGAACGTGGATAAGGAAGCCTCAAAATCACAGAAGTAATTTATTAGAATAAATTATGGTAACACTTAATCTGACAACAGTGAATAATTGGGAGCGCAAACTTTCAAGAGAGGCGACTCCAGTTCTGTCCTGGACCTGATATTCGCGTAATCGACAGCGATGACAACCATCTCATCGTGGAAAATATTCGAAGAGGAATCACTTAGCGACCACCGACATATATCGTTGAATATCGTAAAAAACGAACACACAAGAAAGAAATACCTGACGAGAGGGGGTTTGTGCCTCTCAAAAATGGACCAGGAAACTTTTGTATTAAAAATCAGGAGAGCAGTTGACCTAGAAGGTCTGACAGTAAAAGAAGCAACAGAAACTCTTATACAGATCCTAACGAAAGCTTGAATGCTTCGATTCCTCGCAAACCTTTGATGCCCCATAAGAAATCAGCTTACTCGTGGAATGAGTAACTGGCTAAATTAAGAAGGAAAAGTGTAATAAACGTCGCAGAATACATCAACGAGTGAGGAAAATAAACCGACCGCATGTGGTAGGGGTACAGAAGACATACAAACAAGCCAGAAAAATTTTGTCGATAACAAATAAGTTGAGTAAATATAAAAACTGGAAGATCTCATAGAGTCGATCTATTGATACCTTTGGGGTCTACCTCATAAAATAGTAATGGGTAAGCTCTGTAAAATATGAACGACAAGCGCACCAGAAAATAAAGCGAACCTACGAAGAATCATGAAAATTCTTTTTCCAAAAGCGGATCCTCGGTTTTACTTCTCAAAAGGAATAAGGAGCCCGTCAAGAGAACCCTTTACATTCTAAAAGCTTAAAACTGCAATGAGCAGACTAAGCACCGAGAAAAGCTAGTTCTGAATGGTATCTTTAATAAGGTTTCGCAACTAATTATACAAAAGAATCCACAGTGACTACTGAGATTTTCAATATATGCTTAGCCGCAAGAGTGTTCTAGGCTAAATGAAAAAGACATAAGTTGGTTCTGATTCGAAAAGGTAAAGTATGATAATCTATGTAGATAGTCTATGTATGAGCATTGATAGACCTATCGTCATATAGACAACTGAGTATGGTGGATTCGACAGGAAAGCTCTTTGTAACACTGATTTGAATAAAATGGATTACACAGAAAAAATTTTAAGTACCAAAAACTAGACAAATACCAAACACTAGACTACCTATATGTTTTCAAGGTCGATGATTTCAAAACTCATCAACGTCATGATCAAGGTCATTTCAAGATCAAATCCGCAGAATCAAAATTATCTTGAAATAATGGGTCTATAGGTTTTCTGAATAGCTAGTTTCGTATTTGGGATCGATTTGACTATTAGATAAGTTTTAAATTCATTTTAATGTCTCCCAGAGAAATAGACAAATTTAACTGGATTCGTGCTCACAAAAGCTATGACAAGGGATAATGTATATTTTCATACGTTAACAAAGGCACGTAAAGACAAAGTAAAAACACAGAATACAAAGAGTCATAACGGCAACGAAAAAAATAAATATTACATATGCAAAATGTATCATAGTAATGTGTAATCAAGCAGTAAATAGGATTTGTACCTTTAGAAATTATAACTTAATTATATTTAACGAAGAGTATTGTAACATGAAGGTAATCTTAGACAGAATCAAGTACTACTAGGTTAACAATTTGGATTAATGAAATATCTTTGCTTTTTATGTGAATGGAATAGTAGAGATTCGAAAAACATTATGTAAATAGTGTCTGGCTTCCGAGAACATCGGACCCTTGAACCTCGGTATAAGAAGATAATAAAGGAATCACTCGTTGATCCATCAAAAATTCTTATACTTCCTCTGCACATTCAATTGGAACTTATGAAACAATTGGTAAAATTTTTAAGCAAAGATGGATGATGTCATAAATATATCCATAATTAGTTTTGATAATAAATGATGATAGTTTTCTTAAAAAAATAAATAAAAAAGAGTAAATATCAAGGTTGTATTTCAAGGAAAAAAATATGAGCGGAAAAAAATATGGACCCAGCAAGAAGAATACCGACGAAGACGAGCACAGCTAACCGAAGAAGAGAAGATGGTACATACGAACGGATGCAAGGCCTTTTCAAAAAGAATGGGATGCGTCGAAGGATGGACGATGGACATAAATCTTCATATCTAAGGTCAAGGAATGGGTACTCCGAGATCACGGTACCATGTATTAAGGACTGACGTAGGGACTCAGCGACCATAGACGTTTTGAAGTATATCTAGACGAAAGAGGGCATAAATTCAATAGTAATTGCTGCTTTTCTGGAGAAGAATAGGATGAGATAGAGTACACAAAGTTTGAGTGCTCCGCACACAAATGTGAAAGAAAAAAGATGAAAGTAAAATTAGGATCGACTCGGCTATCGAAAGATAACTTCGTAGCTATCATCCTGACGATGTAGGTGAGATGGAACCTCATAGCTAGTTTCGTTAGTGAATCAATCTAGATCGAAGAAGAAAAAGAGAGAAAGAAATGAAAAGCAGAGACTGGAGCGAATTTAAGACTAATAGGCTAAGAAATACAGCATTTGAAACGGGATCCTTCGGAATCATAATAAACCCCACCGAACTAATATTAAGGAGTGCCGGTGGGTGTTCGTAGAAAGGAAAAGTTCACAAAAGAAAGGGTGTTAGTGGATAAGAATTGCCACACATCCCACGAAAATACACCTCGTAGGGTTATTATAGGGTCCACTGCATGCAAAGTGCTCTTGCTACTTTCGCTAATCTAATATCTAATAATAATATATAATAAAAAATCCCATCATAATCGTATTGTAGGAAAGTATGTTTATTATTTCAAAATTTATCTGGCATAATCATAGAGAAGCTTAAACACTACTAACAATATACAAATTATAGCAATTAAAACGATTTTTAGTAATAATATCACTAATACTTATGTAAATAATGTACTCACTGGATAGATTGCTGGAGTTCCATATTGGAAACCACTAGCAGGCATTATGCCACCACCATAGAAATACGCGTATCCTGGCGGTATGGGATTTATCAACGGTTGTTGATGTTGGGTAGTCTGAAAGATAATACATCAAGTATATTAACCAAATTTGATATATAATATATGTCGTAAAATATATGCTTCACAAACACAATCATATATGCACGCGCATACATAAATATAGACATTCACGCGTGCAACATACGTTAAAAAAAGTAAAAGAAAGAGTCTTCAAGACAATGTATGAAATAGAACCACATGCGAGAAGAAATAAGAAATACGCTTTTCTAAAAATGGCAAGAGGAATGGAACACGTATTTGTGACGGACGATGGACTAGCACATTGATACGTAGAGTAATGGAATAAGTTACCAGAGAGAATGATGCGATGAAATACCACTTGACGCAAATACTCAGTAACCATAAGTGATTTGGTATATTTCTAGTAGATATCTAATTCAAACAGCTTATGTAACAACTGCTAACTATATAAAGAAAATGACATGGATTACTAACGAAGAACGACATAATAGCGACTACGTTTATATCTTAGAAAAAAAATAGGATAAGATGACAACCTAAATTAGAAATCTAACTAAGACCAAAAGAATAAAGAGAGAAATAAAAAGAAAAGACTACATGAAATACAAGACTGACAATCCAAACAATACAGCATCCGGAGAAGAATCTTTTGAAATCCAATAGGTCTCACCAAAAAATACCGAAAAAGAGAAAAAGTCCGGTGGACGTTAGAGATCGTAAGAACATCTGAGTCTACTATTTGCTAAAGAAAAAAAAGACTTTTAGTCAGCGAGAATTCAATATGAGATGTTATTGAGATCACACCCCATATGGCCATTATACTTGCAATTGTCTTCACATGCCCATCAATAATGCTTACAATGACTTCTTAAGTATCTTCTTTATCCTCAACACTTCCAAATATCTAAAAAGGTATACATATCTACTAGTAGAGACGTCTCCCCTCCCCACGATCATCATTTAATTGGATTCAATAATCTTTGTAATAAGAACAACAATAAAAAGTAATAAAAGAAACTATAACAAACAGAGAAAATTAAAATTAAAAAAAATGATAATAATAAATACAAACGATTTGGTTTGTTTTTACAGTATAACTTTCGTTATCTATCAATTTTTATTTATTTCATAAACATACTACTCCTCTAACAAATCTTTTGACACTAACGTTTATGAATTATCTGACATGATTGTGTTCTAAATCTGATATCAAAACTAAATTTCACGGATTAAACTATATCAGAAACATTGTGGATACTATCAGAATAAAACATGGGTTTATTTTTTGCTTAGGATTTTGGCTTCCGTAGAATTTTGAAATTATAAATATCGCATAAATGTATCGATTTTGCAAAACATAAATGATATTAAAAATAAAATGAAGTTAAGTTTTTCAGAATAAAGCCTTTTTAATCGTCATCTGATTAGCTGATAGGTAGGTAACTGTTATGTGACAGTATGTACATATATACATATATTAGACAATTTAACGTAGCAGTTAACATCCATAAAATTACATTGTTCCTTAGCAGTCTAAAGTTTTTCAAAAAATACGTGAAAAATGGCACACGCTATTTTATTTGTGAAAATTTGGTAATTAACATTCATTGATCCGGTCATAGAAATTGCTAGGATTTTCAAGAGCCTATCTATAAAGAACTAACATATACAAGGTTTATTAGGTTATATTCATAATGTACTCAAAAATATATTCTTTTTTAAGTAACAGTGTATACTAAAAAAAATTACAATAAACAACTGTAACATCAATGAAATAATAACAATAATAATAACATGAAACAAAAAATAATCAGTCGCTACAAAAAATCATAATTTCTTATCATCTTTTACTTTACGAAATCTCGCAATACTAGTTAAATAAATATTTACAGCAAAATTGATAGTACTAGTTAATAGTAACAATATATGTAGACACAATTTCAAATTTTTGCTAAAGAATTACAGATATTATCTGTAGATAGATTCTCCAGTCGGTTTTGAGTGAATTCTAAATATGTTATTATTTAAATAATTTTCAATTTGTCGAGTGTATTCTACAGCTACATACTCTTTCAATAATTACGAAGGTTTTGTTATTCCAAATGCTTTTTCAAGTGATAATATCAGGATTCAAATTAGAATCCACTTTATTTTATAAAATATTTATTCTCCATATTATTTATAGTTTTCAAAGCACTAACAAGAAAGGTACCCCAACCTGAACTCACCGATTTTGATAATTCTTGTATATGTTGTAGTACATTAAAAAAGCAACAGATTGGTATTCCTTTTATCGGCGGAAAAATATATTTAAGGGATGAAATCCACCCACAAAGTTCACCCTCAAAATCATTTTTTTCAAATAATTTTTCTTCCAGTCAATATTTTTTAGTAACACTAAGTGGATAATAATCCTTATAAAAAGTAAAACAAACTCTGGTATGTTTGACTTTTGGGGGTTGCAAGCCCTATTTTTAATACACAAAAAATTGAAAAATTGACATCATTCTCTGCAGGAAAAATTTTCAAAATAGTGTAATTATAACCAAATTTTTATATTTATAAAGAAAATAGAAAAAATAAGTTTATGTTTTTCAGCATTTTTAATAAAAAATATTTTTAGAGGGTAAAGCTACCCCTATTAATGAAAATTAGAACTTTCGATATTAAAATTATTTAAAAGTGAATTTTTTAATTTTTACTACTTTATAGATATTGTAATAATAAAAATATTCTGAAAACACATTTAAATGGTGAAATCTACCTTTAAAGTTCACCCCCAAAAACAGATTTTTTAAATAGCTTTTTTCCTAACCAATATTTTTTAGTAAAACCAAGTGGGTAATATTACTTATCGAAAGCATAACAAATTTTGATGACATTGACTTTTAGGAGGTTGCAATCCCTATTTTTGATAAGTGAAAAATTGAAAAATTGACATGAATTTTCGAAAAATAGTTTAGTTTTGAGCAGATGTTTATGTTTTGAAAGAAAATAGAAAAATAAAATCCTTCAATTTCTGAATTATCAATAACAAATAATTGGCGAGGGTAAAAATACTCTTATTAATAAAAATTCGTAATTAATGAGTAGATAATGCGAAAGTTTTAAATAAATTTTCTAATTTTCAGTACTCGATGGCCGTCGCCATACTAAAAATGTTAGAAAGAAGAGAATAATCTAATTATTATTATAATATTATTTTAACTTTTTCAAACGCGAAGGGTCAAATATTAAATTTTGAATAATTATAATAATAATGGAATAATAATGTAGGAATAATAATAATAATAATGAAGGAAATAACATTCGTTTGTTTATTAGTAATGTAGAATATTATAGTATGATAAAACGTTTGTGTACAAAAGGTTTTTCAATTATCTGATTTAATTTAACACATAGAAAATAAATATCAAAACTGAACCAAATGAAACGATGTTATTAAATTCTCTAATTTTATTCATATGTTGAAAGTGGGAATTGAGAATACTTACAATTAAGAAAACAAGATAAAAATACTATCAAATGAAATGTGTTATCTGTCCTATATATATCGTACAAGTTTTTGTAAACATAAGATATCAGTTGGAATTCCATGTCTTTACTGGATGGACGTGATTCGGAGAGGTAAATAATTTCTTCATTATTTTCAAATTTAAATTTATAAAATAATTTATTCTTAATTCCTGTTTGATCAAAAAGGTAAGAAAATTCGAATGTTTATTTTTCATTCCATTAACACAGTCTATTCACAAAAGTAATTAATGCAATTGCAGTAATTCATCATAAGAGTCAATCCTTTAAACGTAACAATTTATTGCTGGTATACTTTCAAACATTGGAATTACCGATTAATAGCCAACTACTTATCAAGAAAATCAATTAGCGGAAAAAATAAAAAATATTTTACTAGATTCGATGGATGAATTTCACGATATAGAAATAATTTCAGCAGAAACGTTAGATTTCCAGGAGTAATACAAGGATCCTGATGCACAAATTATCGAGGACGATATAATGTATCATTTTTCTCCTCCTATAGAATTTCCACCAAATTAGTGTAAAGAAGATAGAGAAGATTTATCTTTTGATTATAAAGAAACAGCAGTGAATTATTGGCGAAGTGGAAATTAAAAAAATTTAAATATTGAGAGTGTGAAAAGAAAATTACACAGTCAGCCAAGGTGGTACATACAGAGAAAAAATTGCCCGAATTTGTGATTATGTATTACAAAATTTTAAATCTGCTGTTGACGCTGGTTTTATTGTGCATGATCAAGATTTGCGTCGTTGGGCATTAGACGCAAAAAAGGATTTAGAATTTGAAGATTTTAGGTTTAAAGGTTCAAAACATTGGCTAGCAAGATTTAAAATTGCTCACAGAATTGTATTAAGAAAAATTAACATATCGTTATCCGAAAAACTTTCGAAAGTAGTACAGAACTAGAGAAACAAGCTCTTATATTTGTTACCAATGTGAAGAAAGCTATTCAAGAAATTGGAATTCATAATACATATAATATATACGACACACAGCTATACTATAAAACCTCTAATATCAGGTAAAGAAAAACTTTTGTCACCTCTCTTTTTAGTTTTAAAGGAAGAATCTGGCCAGTTTAGACCAATTGTAGAATCCAAATTGTTCAAATCTCAAAATGTATACGTAGAAGCATCTAAATCTGGAAAATTAACTTCAGGTAAGTAATAATTAAACATAATTTAAAAATAATAGAATGCTGGTAGAAAAATGTTGAACAAATTCTTTTATTGCAGATCTTTTTAAAATTTGGTTGAAGAACATTTTTCATACAAATATTGGTCCTACCAGTATATTGCTGCTAGATTCTTGGAATGGTCACTGCGAAAAAGTAATTGAAGAAACTAGACCAGAAAATAAGATCGTTAATGTTGTGAAAATTCTAACTGGAACTATAGGAAAAATCCAATAATTAGATGTATACGGATTGCGAGTGTGGAAAAACTTTGTTCGACGTTTTTCATATAACGTTATTTTAATGGATTACGATATGAATTTATATTCGAGAAATAATATTATTAGGCTTCAGTCATTGGTTTATAACGAATTTTCATCACCAGGATATTTTAAACTTTTCATCCACTGGTTGATTTCAGTTTCAGGGATTCTTAGAGTTTAAAAAGCGAAATCTAAGGCTACCAATATACTGTAATTAAATGTTGTGGCTAGTGTACAAAGTCCCTATGTTTCAAACATTTTTTTGATGATTATCATTACTGTTCGAACTTTAACAAATAAAAAATGTTGTGACGGTAAACGTCGAATTAGCGCTAATAGCCTAACTTAGTGGCTGCCTGCGGGGGCAGCACTTACCAGTAGACGAAAAATGTAATGAGGGAATTCGGTACGCGACGAGGCGGAACGCGCGCGATTGAAAACGAACCAGTGAAGGATCAGCCATCGACACGCTTAGCCGAAAGTGCGGAATCAGCTACCGATACGAGCTAAAAGTCGAGGATTAGAACTCGATCGCAGAGCTGCGCTACCAAGACTCTTGAGATTTCCCGAGCTTTTCCGGAGTGCCGATACGAGCCGAGTCGGAGCTGCAATAGCGGTGCCTCCGCCTGCCTGAAAAACGTGTGTGAGAGTGCGCGTGTGAGGAGTTTCGCCAGCGAGGGCGAAACCGAAAACGCAAGTTTCCTCGTATTAAAGACAGACTTTCCCGCAACGAGAGTGCGAACTGTTTCTTTCGTTCTTCGTACGACTGCAAAAAAAAAGGTAAGCTGGCCAGCTTAATTTCGTGGTCGCGATATAATTGCTACATGACTAATCCCTCGATTCGACAAAAAGCGTGCATGTAACATCTCGGCAAACAAAGAGCGGCGAGCGATCCGACACTGCATGTTGTTGTCGTGCGCGCGGCATGTAAACATAAACACGCGGGCCGAATACGATGTAATGTTAAAAGATAATAAAAGTTCTCGTATGTGATATTAACAGTACTTTCGAAGTGTTCTTTTCGTATTTGTAGATAGTTGGTTGACAGACACCCGTTCCCTCCTGCTCTCCGATTTTCGTATTTAACATAGGTAATTACGTGCGCTTTTCGATACGATTACGCGGATAAATTAATTAAACGGAATACCCACCCCGTTACATGGCGCCCAACGTAAAAGAACCTATGGTGTTTATGATTGTTCAAAACACCAGTTCTTAACATTAACCTTACGCCCAGTCAACCAGCGACTTACGTGGCAATCAAGTGTTGTTGTGCACACTTAGTATTGAAGGCCACAATAGTAAACATAGCCTGTTAGTGAGCTTGCGAAGGCCCGCCGCGGCGAGAAATTGTAAACAGTAGCTGTAAGCGCGTGCGAGTGCGACCGAACGACTCTTAGATAAGCGTAAACACCAATAAGTTTTGAAAGTTGCCGCAAATCAATAATATTGTACCCGTTGGCCCGGGGAAAACTAACACCGGCAACTTTCAAACATAAGAAACTCAAATTGATAATTTTATTTGATATCGTGTTGCCTCAACGTAAATGTGTTTTTTTTAAATATTATTAGCTGCGGTTATTGGTGATTACGCGCAACGCTCATTATGATATTTTAGATACTAACCAACACAGCCGCGCCAAGAAACAGTTAGTGCGCCTGATAGGCAGGATCATTATATTGCGCAATAACGAGCAAAGAGTCTTTCGGCAAATACACTATTAAACGCCCTTGATCGAGCCTAGTGTCGGCTAATAAAATCTAAATTTTTACTTGCGTACGGATTTTTAGTGCAGCACTCGCACTCGCACCACGCATAGCAAACGTGTAAATTTTGCGTGAAATTAGCCGCAAGACAACTAACAGAAGAAAATGGACCGCACTCAAAAAGAGGTAGAAAACTGGGTGTTGACGCTCCAGGAGGAGGAAATCAACGAGTACCTCGAACACCTGGAGCTTAAAACAAGCGAGAACAAGCTCTCGAGAGCTGGATGACTGCAAAACTGTTTGAAAGCTATAAATAATATGGAGAAGAAATATTTTATAAAATAAAGTGGATTCTAATTTGAATCCTGATATTATCACTTGAAAATCATTTAGAATAACAAAACCTTCGCAATTATTGAAAGAATATGTAGCTGTAGAATACACTCGACAAATTGAAAATTATTTAAATAATGACATCTTTAGAATTCACTTAAAACCGACTGGAGAATCCATCTACAGATAATATTTGTAATTCTTTAGCAAAAATTGAAAAAGTGTCTACATATATTGTTACTATTGACTAGTAGTTGTCAGTTGTCTCTAACTAGTAGTGAGTTGATTTTCTGCTCGTATCTGTTTTTCTTCCACTGTAAAGGTGGCATATCTTTTTTTCTTCGTACGGGACATGAATACCGCTTCTGTTTTTTCAGCCTGGGGTCTTGTAGGCTTAACTCACCACAATCATGGGAGACGGTAGTGACATTTTCTACTTCTGTTGTGAACAAACTGATCATCGGAAGAGAAAGCGAAATAATAGGTCACGATTAGTCTAGCAACATATAGATAGCGCTAAGCGCCAGACTATGGGAACAAAAGAGTCCTCCTAATTTACCGAAAAGTAGTAGGTAGAGCGCGGTCATCTCACCCGAAGCAGAGAAACGTAGAATTCGAGGTCGAGTCTGTCTAGAGGATGACGGAACGATGCGAAGAGAAAATGACACCGACGTCTCCGCTGCGAAAAAATACCTAGCAACGGTTCCCACGGGAGATACAGGCAGAAGAGAGAGAGGTAGGAGTTTAGTAGGTAGACGAGTTAGGTCAGTCCCGCATACGACGAGCCACCTAAAGTAGAGTAAGAAACTTTCTTTGCTGATATAAGAAATTTGAAAATTTTCCTTTACTACCGCCATCCGGCATGACGCCATATGGTGTCAGACCATGATCGGCCCACATATACTATTACTTAAGAAATATTTATATGAAAAATTTCGAGAAAGTTACACGTTTTCAGTAGGAAAAATACCGGCTATCAAAAGGTTAATCAAACAAAAAAAGATGGATTTAATTTATTCCGAAATACTTACTTGCTGTGATATAGTAGAAGGTACCGGAGATGCATTACTATCAGTTCTAGCAAATCTACCATCATTTATACTTGTATATTGTGCTTGAACAGTTTGAACACCTTGAACACTCTGTACTCCAGACAGAGTATCACTTCTGCTGCTACCAAGGCTTGTAACAGGTCCTGTTGTCTGATAACTTAATGCAGCATCGTAGTAACCAGTAGTAGGCTGTAATGCCAGAAAAAGTTCAGTTACATAGTACATATGCTTATATATAGACAATGTTCAATTAAGCTATATTGAGACATCTTAAATTTATTATTCTAAACGTGTTATTAATTTGAAACTTTGCAATATGTTCTCTTATTGAATTTAGAACTATTTAAGTTTTTAAGACGAACGGTTGATTTTTTCCAATTATTAAAATTTTTCATACTATGATTTAAAAAATTTTTTTCCATGTTTAGCCATCAATTCTTAAACAATTTATAATGTAACTAGATATTTTTGTATAATCTTTTGATATTTATATTCTAAATGCCGGTAATTACTTAATATCATGACACAGAACAGAGTGGTACAAAAATTGATAGATCTGTAGCTAGAATATAAGAAAAAAATACTTAAGAAGATAAAGGCGAAAAACTGATAGAATAATCCATATTGAAGAATTTAAATATGACACCTCGTTATTCAATAATAGTTTACATAAATTATTTGGTTTTACGAGCTCATCGCAAAATTAAGACAATAAAATAAATCACTTTTATTCATTTAGTTCACTATAATTCATAAGATTCTAAATGAAATTTTAAAAGTTAGTAGGCGTTTCGTCCTTACTGTTGGACTAGTGTCCTCAGTGTGGGTCCAACAGTATTTCTTAGATGCCGAGCTGCTAGATAGTGCATGGCCAAGTACGTAAGAGGCTTCTACTGATTTCATCTAAATATGAAAGTCTTCTACCAGAAATTTTCTCAACGGAATGCCGAGTTCCGAAAATTAACATATGACGGCTCGTTATTTAATAATGAATTACAAAAATTATTCGGTCTTGCAAGCTCTCAATAAAAATTGAGACTATGAAATGAATCACTACCACTAATTTAGCTCAATCTTGTTCATGAGATTCTAAATAAGTTTTCAAAAGTTAGTAGATATGAATGAAATAAGTAGCGGCCTTTTACATATTTGACTGTGCAGCACCTAGCTAGGTGTCTAATGAAGACTGTTTAATCCTTACTGAGGAATCTAATCAAATAGTAAGGATGAAATGCCTATTAAGTTTTGAAATCTCATTTAGAATCTTCTAAACCAAAGCAAGTGAAGTAAGTGGTCGTGATTCATTTCAATATTAAAAATCTCGTTAGGAGCATCAAAATTATAAAAATAATAAGATAAAAAAAACTGATTCTATTAGACATCAAGCTAACTATAAAAAATAACTTCGTCAATTAAAAGATAAAGTCTATCATTAATAAACAATAATCCATTAATATTTTAAATGAAAAGGCCAGTACTTGTAATAAAATTATAAATCGCAAATGAATTAATATAGAAAATATAAATCACGCAAAAAACTAATGCATTAAAATTGTATTGAATCAATGTTCAAGCGTTCACCGATCAATAACCCAATAACCCAAAGAGAAAAAACATCAGGTATTAAAAAATGTGAAAATTGTAAGTTTGTTGAATCAGAGTCTTAATTAGTAAATATGATAATAAAGAGAATCAGAAATTATATCTCCAAAATATAAAATGGAAATAGAGGGTTATATTGTGACTTGGACGAGAGTAGACGTGTCTTGTGTGAGTGCTGAATATAGGCCGATTCTGGAGAGAAGGAGAGCAGGAAGTGAAGAGAAAAGTGGAGAAAAGGTGCAGGAGGAGTGGAAGGGCGTTCGGAGAAGAGAAAAAGAGAACGAGATAAAGGGTGAAGGAAGAAAGGTGAAAAAGAAATAAAGGGAGAAAGGATAGGTTAGGGTAGATAAGACAGAAGGCGGGAAAAGAGGAGCGTAGGAGAGGGGCATAAAGGCGAAGACAGAGGGAATAAGAGAGAAAGTTAAGGCGGGAGCAAGGCGGGGAATAGGAATAGGAAACAGGAACGAGATGTTTACAACACCAGGAACAGCGAGAGAGAGGGACGGTAAAGGGGATAAGAGGAAGGCAAAGGGGGTGAGAGGTAGAGAGAGCGAAGAGGGCATGAGAGGGGGAAACAAGGAAGAAGTGAGACAGGCGAAAAGGTACAAAAGTGAAAGCGAGGGGAGTGAAACAGAGGGGGACGAAGGGAATGAAATGGACAGAACATTGATAGGGGTGGGGGAGAGTAAAGGAGAAGACAATGCATTTGAAAGAGTACTAGCAGAAATGAGAGAGCTGAGAAGAGAGGGGAAGAAAGAGAAAGAGGAACTGCTAAATGAAATGATGAGACGAATGGAAGAGGCGGAGAAAAAAAGAGAGGCAAAATGGGAGAGAGGTTTGGAAAAACTTAGAGAAGAATTAGAGAAAGATAGAGAGGAAAGGAAAAAAGAGAAAAGAGAAGAAAAAAGAAGACAAGAGAAGTGGGAAGAAAGAATGAAAGGATTGGAAGAAGAGATGAATAAGATGAAAAAATACATGGAAGGAAGAGAGACAAGGGTAGAAGAAAAAAGAGTAGATAATAGGGAAGAAATGGATCACATGAAGGAGAGGATGGATAGAGAAAGTAGGGTAAATAATATAATTGTTACAGATCTGGAGAGAGAACTAAAATGGGAAAAAAAAGGAGACACAGAGGAATGGTTAAAGGCCAGAATGGGAATAAAGGGGGAAATAATAAGCCTAAGGAGCATAGGAGGACCAGAAATAAAACAGAGACAGGAAGGGATAGAGTATAGAAGGAAGAGGATGTGGCAAATAAAGTGTGCCTCATGGGAGCAAAAGGAGGGAATAATGAAGAAAAAAAGTAAATGAGGGGAGAAAAAAATATATATAGATCACGACTGGACGTAGAAACAAAGGAAAATAAGAGAGGAGGTAAGAAGAAAAGCAAGAGAATTGAAAAATAAGGGTAAGGAAGTTAAAATATGGCACAACGGGCTAAGAGCAGGGGAGGAAGAGTGGAGGTGGAACGAGAGAGAAGAGAGATCGACAAAGAAAGGAATGGAGGGGTTTCGGAAATAAAGGGGGGAGAGGAGAGAAGAGAGAAGAGGTGAAGGGAAGGAAAACAGTTAAAATGTTATTTTGGAATGTGGCGGGAATAAAGAGCTTGGAAGAAGAGGACTGGAAATATATTAGAAATTTTGATATAGTAGGACTTACGGAGACATGGGTGAAAAGTGAAGAAGCAGAAATAGGAATAGGAAGAAATCTGAATGGGTATAACATTGAATGGAGGGACTCGAGAAGGGAAGGAAAAAGGGGTAGGGAGATAGGGGGTGGACTGATGGCAGTAAGAGAAAGACAAGAGAGAATAAAGGTAAAATGGAAGGAAGAAAGGACAGAAGAAGTCATAGTAGGGGAAATAGAGATAGAGAGAGAGAAATGCACGGTTGCATCAGTCTACATGCAGCACAAGAAAAAAGAAAATTATGAGTACCTAACCGAAGAAATAGAGGAAAATAGAGGAAAAATATTAATAATAGGAGGAGACTTTAACGCTAGAACAGGAGGCGAAGGAAGAGAATGGGACAGCGAAGGACAGATAGGAGAAATAAAAACAAAGGATAGTATGATAAACGCAGAAGGGGAAGAGATGGTAAAATGGCTAGGAGAGACGGGATTAGTGATTATGAATGGGAAAAAAGAAGGAGATGAAGAAGGAGAAATTACATATATAGGAGCGAGAGGGATGTCGACAATTGACTACATAATAGGAAACATAGGAGGGGAAGAGAGAGTGAAGAAAATGCAAATGGGAGAGAGAACTAAATCGGATCACCTACCAGTAGAAGTGGAACTAGAAAACAGGGTTGAAGAAGAAGAAAGGTTAAGAGAAGACTGGAGCGAAGAAGGAATAAAAGAGTATCACAGATGGATAGGAGCAGTAGAAGGAACGGAAAAATGGGAAGAGATAAAAATCAGAGTGCAGAACGCTGTAACAAAAAAGAAAATAAGAAGTAAAAAAGGAACAAGGAAAAGCTGGTGGAGAGAAGAATGTAAGGTAAAAAGAGACAAGGTAATGAATGCTCTGAAAGAACTAAGAAGAGGAACTGGGGATAGAAGCAGATACTTAGAAGCAAAGAGGGAGTACAGAGAGGAAATAAGAAAGGCAAAAGAAGAGGAAGGAAGGAAAGTGGCGGAGGAAATAAACAAAGATAGAACGAGAAGGAAATTTTGGGAAAAAGTGAGCGGAGGAAAGAAAAAAAGAACAAAAATAGACAAAAAAATAAGTAATGAGGAATGGCTAAAACACTTCAAGAAGCAGCTAGGAGAAAAAGAAAAGGACTACAATCAAAAAGAAGAAAGAGAAGAATGGGAAAAAGGTGAAAAAGAGGAGGGAGGGGAAATAAAAGTAGGGGAGGTAGTAGAAGTGATAAAGAGAATGAAAAAGAAAAAAGCATCAGGAGAAGATGGGATTGTAAATGAAGCGTGGATGGCAGGGACAGAAAGCCTAATAAAAGACCTGACAAAATGTCTAAATGGAGTATGGAACGGAGAAGGATTCCCGAAGGAATGGAGAAAGGGAATAATAATACCAGTCTACAAGAAAGGAAAAAAAGAAGAAGTAAGTAATTACAGGGGTATAACGCTGATGGACACAGATTACAAGATATATGCAGAAATAGTAAGGAAAAGACTAGATAGAGAGATAGAAGAAAAAGGAATACTAAGCGATACACAAATGGGATTCAGACTAAAAAGAGGAACAACAGATGCAATATACGTGCTGAAAACGGCAATAGGAAAAGAAATCAGGAAAAAAGGTGGGAAATTGTTTGTCTTCTTCGCTGATATGAAAGCAGCGTTTGACAGGATAAGAAGAAAGAAGATATGGGAAATAATGAAGGAAAAAGAAATAGATAAAAGGATCAGAAGAAGTATAGAAGAAATATATAAAGAAACAGGATGCAGATTAAAAATTAGAGGAGAGATAATAGGGGAATTCGACACAGAAAAGGGAGTGAGGCAAGGGTGCCCGCTGAGCACCACGCTATTTAATCTTGCCTTTGCGGAGTTAGAAGAGAAAATGAGTAAAATTCAGGAAGGAGGAGTGGTAATAGGAAGAAAGAAAATCTGGACGATAGGAT